TGGCCCTCAGCCAAGGGGTTGGGAAATCCTCTGCCGGCGGTTGGTCACTGTTACGGTGACACCAGCGTCCCCCCCGGGTGAGCAGTTGGGAAATCCTCTGCCGGCGGTTGGTCACCGTCAGCCGGAGCAGAGAGACTGTGCTGAGCGGTTGATCGCTTTTAGGGTCAAAGAGGGGGGAACCCATCACCGCCAGCGGCAGTTTGTCACCTTCACAGGGACACCAGTGTCCCCTCAGCGAGCGGTTGGAGAATTCGCCACCGGCAGTTGGTCACTGTTACGGTGACACCGGTATCCCCCTGGCTGAACAGTTGGGAAATCCTCTCCCAGTGGTTGGTCACTGTCAGCTGGAGCGGAGCGACTGTGCTGAGCAGTAGATTGCTTTTAGGGTCAAAGAGAGGGGAATCCACCGCTGCCAGTGGCAGTTTGTCACCGTCACAGGGACACCAGTGTCTCCTGAGCGAGCAGTTGGAGAATTCGCCACCGGCAGTTGGTCACTGTTATGGTGACACCCGTGTCCCCCCTGGGTGAGCGGCTGGGAAATGCTTTGCTGGTGGTTGATCACCGTCAGGTAGAGCGGTGTGACTGTGCTGAGTGGTTGATTGCTTTTAGGGTCAAAGAGGGGGGAATCCACCACCGCCAGAGGTGGCTGGTCACCTTCATGGTGACACCAGCGTCCCCCAGGCTGAGCGTTCAGGATATTCTCCACTGGCGGTTGGTCCCTGTAACAGTGACATTGGTGTCCCCCCAAGTGAGTGGTCGGGGAGTCCTTCACTGGCGGTTGGGGGCCATCGCGGTGACACCAGTGTCACCTGGGGCGGGCAGTTGGGAGATCCTTCACCGGCAGTTGGTCACTGTCATGGGGACACCTCTGTCCCCAGAGCCGAGCATTTAGGGATCCTCCCCTGGCAGTTGGTCACCATCGTGGTCACACCGGTGTCACCTGGGGTGAACAGTTGGGGAATCCTCCACCGGCGGCTGGTCACCGTCACGGTGACATCGGTGTCACCTGGGGTGAGTGGTTGGGAGATCCTCCACTGGCAGTTGGTCACTGGTGTGGTGGCAACCGTGGTTCTGGTGACACCAGTGTTCCTCCACCGGCAGTTGGGAGCCTCATTTTTGAGGTAAACCCCCCCTCCCCCCCCCCGTGGGGTTCCAGGAGGGTTTTGGGGTGGAATCCCAGGGTTTTGGCAGGTTTTGGCAGCATGAAAGCCAAAATGCTCCTTCTGGGCCTCCTGCAAATGGGAGAAAATGCCCCAAATCCCATTTCTGGTAGGTTTTTTACCCTTTTTTTTTTACCCCCGTGAGCAGGTGTTGCAGGTACCGTTGCTGGAGGGACCTCGGGCTGTGGCTGCTGATTTTATTATCTTTGAGTTTTGGCCAAAAAGTTGGGGTTTTTCCCCCAAATGTTTCTGCTCCAAAGGCCCAATGAAAGCTCCGTTAATTTTGGGTCAAAAAACAGGGTAAAAAAGTAGTTGTGGTGCAGGGTGGCACCGGGTGTCCCAGCCCCTTTTTCTGCCCCGATTTTGGGCTCATTTCTGCCAGAGGAAGGTGGGTGCTCGTGTGTCCCTGTCACCCGCTGGCCACAGAGTGGACCTCAGCGTGTCTGCCTGTCCTTGTCACCTGTGTGTCACCGTGCTGGTGGCCACAGAAGGGACCTCAGTCTGGCTGCCTGTCACTGTCACCCGCCTTGCTGCATGTCAGCAAGTCAGTGGCCATGGAGGGGACCTCAGCACAGCTGGCTGTCCCCGTCACCCCGCTTCCCTGTGTGTCACCATCCCAGGGACCTCAGGGTGGCCACCTGTGGCTGTCACCCACCTCCGTGTATGTCACCAGGTTGGTGGCCGCAGAGGGGACCTCACTGTGGCTGCCTGTGGCTGTCACCCGTCTTGCTGTGTGTCACCATCCTGGTGGCTGCGGAGAGGACCTCAGTGTGGCCACTTGTGGCCGTCACCCACCTCTTGTGTGTGTCAGTGAGTTGGTGGCCCCAGAGGGGACCTCAGCGTGGACACATGTGGCCGTCACCCACTTCTGTGTGTGGCAGTGGGTTGGTGGCCATGGAAGGGACCTCAGTGTGGCCACCTGTGGCTGTCACCCATCTTCATGTGTGTCAGTGCACTGGTGGTCATGGAGGGGACCTCAATGCGGCTGCCTGTCCCTGTCACCCATCTCGCTGCGTGTCACTGCCCTGGTGGCCCCAGAGGGGACCTCGGTGCAGCTGACCGTCCCCATCACCTGCCTCACTGTGTGTCACCATGCTGGTGGCTGTGTAGGGGACCTCAGCGTGGTCCCCTGTCCCTGTCTCTGTGTGTGTCAGTGGGTTGGTGGCCATGGAAGGGACCTCAGTGTGGCCACCTGTGGCTGTCACCCATCATCATGTGTGTCAGTGCACTGGTGGTCAAAAAAAAACCAGTGGCCGCAGAGGGGACCTCGCACAGCCACCCGTCCCTGTCAGCCGCCTGTGCGTGTCCCCATCCCCGCAGCTCAGGCTGCCGTGTCCCCGCAGATGGTGACGACGATCTGCTGCGGGGCCTCGAAGGGGCCCTGGGGGTGAAGAAGAAGAAACGGGGCCCCCGGAAACAGAAGGAAAATAAACCCGGAAAACCACGGAAACGGAAAAAACTGGTGAGTTCCCCATGGACGCCCTGCCCTGGGTCCTCCTGCCATGGGTGATGGGGTCTGGGGACGATGGATGGGGTCTGGGGACGGGTGACAACCTCCCAGCGTAGCTGATATGGTCTGGGGAGGACGGATGGGATCTGTGATGGGTGACAGCCTCTCAGGGATGGCTGACAGGGCCTGGGGACAGCTGACAGGGTTTGAGGATGGGTGACAGGTTTTGGGAATGATGGACGAGGTCTGAGGATGGGTGACAGACTCTCAGGGATGGCTGACGGTGGCTGGGGACAGCTGACAGGGTCTGGAATGACGGATGGGGTCTGGAGATGGGTGACAGTCGCTCAGGGTGACTGATGGGGTATGGGGACGCTGCACGGGGTGTGGGGATGGGTGACAGACTCTTGGGGTGGCTGATGGGGCTCTTGGGTTGACTGACAGGGTGTGGGGTCGATGAACGAGGTCTGGGGACGGTGGACAGGGTCTGGGGATGGCTGATGGAAGCCTCAGGGTGGCTAACGGCCCTGGGGATGGGGGATGGACTCTTGGGGGGGCAACTGATGCGGTCTTGCGGCAGCTGATGGAGGTCTCAGGGTGGCTGACAGGGTCTGGGAGTGATGGACAGGGTTTGGGGACGATGGATGGGGTATTGGGATGGCTGATGTGGTCTTGGGGTGACTGCTGGGGTCTTAGGGAGCTGATGGGGCTCTTGGTACAGCTGGAGGGGTCTGGGGATAATGGACATAGTCTGGGGATGGGTGACAGACTCAGTGTGGGTGACAGGACTGGGGGTGACTGACAGGGTCTCAGGGTGGTTGATAGGGGATCTGGGGGCAACTGATGGAGGTCTCGGGGTGGTTGATGGGTCCTGGAGAGGGGTGACAGTGTCTGGTGTCAGCTGACGGGGTCTGGGGAGAGGTGATGGACTCTTGGGGGTGGCTGATGGGGTCTTGCAGCGGCTGATGGAGGTCTGTGGACGACTGATGGGGTTGGGGGTGACTGAAGGGGTCCTGGGGTGGCTGATGGGGGTCTCGGGGTGGCTGATGGGCCCCGGGGAGGGGTGATGGGCCCCAAGGACGAGCACGGGGCGGTGGTCACAGGTGAGCGAGGATGAGCTGGAGTCGGAACGGGAGGAATACCAGCGGGAAGAGTACCGGGAGAAGTCGGAGAGCGGCGGCAGCGACTCCGGGGGGGCGGCCAGGAAACGGCGGCGGAAGCACCGCGAGAAGAAAGAG